GAACCTCTTTATATTAACAGAAAAAGATTTTATAGCTCCTTACCATCTTGATTTTGAAGACTATAGTGATTCCTTTGAAATACTTCTTGATCTACAACAACACATACCTAACTCTTTATTTAAGCAACAAATTTAAAATATCATGGCCACTGCAGATGATATTTTTGACTACTTAAAAAAGAATAAAAAAGATAAAAATGTTATTCACATTGAACCTTTTAATAGAGATAGAATTCAAGACTCCTTAATCTAGATTGCTAACTTTGAAAAGCTATAATTGCTAATAGCTAGAGTCTTGCTAAACAAAGAAAAATTATGCCAGCTTTCTTTAGAGAAAATGCTAATAAATAGCAACAAATTTATTATCCTGCAAATGTTACAATAACTGATGCTGTAACTGATTGGACTGCTACAAAAGCTGCTTTTATTGTATAATTCATTAATCAATATTAGAAAAATAAATAAATTGGAGATCTAAATGAATTAAAACAACTTTCTACTGAATCAGTTGAAACCTACTATAGCTAATACAACAGAGTTATTAAATAAGTCAAATTAATAACAACCTAACTAATGCCCAAAAGCTATATCACTTTAATAAGGAACTTTGTTCAGAAACCCTCACTGTATTTCTTATGCATAATTCTGTTACTATAGCTAAAGCTTTAGGATTTGCAAAATGATTAAATAAGAAAAAGATTTTGTTACTCGAAGTGAACCTAGTTTAGCTGCTGCTAATAGAAGTTTAGAAAAGATATTGACTATCTAACCAAACAAATGCAACAAATGACTCTTAATTATGCAACTATTGTATTAGCACTTACTAAACCTACATCTAAAATTTAACCGAAATTCTAATCCAGAACCCAATATCAACCTAGAACCTAATTTCAACCTAGAAACTAGTACCAAAGAACTTTAATTACTTGCAATAATTGTGAAGAAAAGAGACATTATATTAAAAATTGCCTAGCTGGAAAACAACCTACTATAATTCAATATAAGCAAATGACTTAGGATAATAGAAAGAAAAATATTAACTATATTGGAATAGAGAATTATGATATTAATAAAGTATATATTACCAGAATACCAAGAAGCAAACCCTATACTATTGACAGAAGACAGACCAAGTTTTCAAACAAAAATTCTGAATTCCAAAAAGAATTTAAACTTAGAAACAGAACTGTCATATCAGATGAACCTGACACTCAAATGAATGAAATTCCTGTAGAAGTCCTATTGAAGTACCCATTACAAAAGGAACTAAATCAAAACCAAAATTCAAAACTTATCCCTCTGTAATTGAACAAGTTGAATTCTATAATGTCTCAACTAATATCCTGAACATAAAATCCTCTTTGCACTATTGAACAATAGTTACAACTCCTTGCACAGTGTAAAAATCTTGCAAAATTTTGCAAAAGAAAAAGGAACCTATTACTAAAACAAACCAAGCTAAAACTGATTACTCTAAAAAGACCACAGAAATAAGATGTCATATTCAAATTAAAGAAAACTCTGTTATTGCTATTCTTGATTCAAAAGTAGCTGTAAGCATTATTACAGCCAAGTTTATAAGAAAACTACAACTTCAAATCCAAAAACCTTCCAAAACTATTGTAGTTACTGCCAATAGAAATTATACCAAAGCTTTAGAAATTATCTTTGATGTGAAGATTACTATCTAGAATATTATTATTCCTATTAATCTCTAAGTGATTGAATCCATAGATAAAACTCCTTATTTGAAACAGATTAGTTTAACAAGTCAAGAGCCAAGTTAGATTTTGAAAATAACATCTTAAATATTCAATACTTAAGAAAGAAAGCTACTACCAATACTACTTATACTACTAACTCTTACTCTATCTTAGAAGAAGTAGATAAGAATGATGAAGATTAATAAATTAATAAGCTAGATAAAGAAGAAGAAATAGCAACATATTACTTAGAAGAATGGCCTTCTGTAATTGATAAAATGTATTACAATCTCTGATCAAAAATAGAAGCTACTCCTGCCTTTTACCTAACTCAACTATTAGAAGAAAAGGTTTATTTTGTTGAAAACTCAAACCTAAATATAAATCTTGAACTTATCCAAGACCAACATGTCTAAGCCAAACAACTCTTAATAGAAAATATTAACATTTTCTCAGAAAATATCTTAGAAAATGAACAGTTCAAGGAATTAGAACAAACTAATATTATTTGTCATAAAATTAATACAAATAGTCCTAAACCTATTAAACAAAGAGCCTACTAATATCTTTTAGATAAATAGGAATTCTTGCAAAAAAAATTCAAGAAATGTTAGAAAAAGAAATTATTAAAGAATTCTTTGGACTTTGGTCTTCTTCTGTTGTACTCATGCCAAAGAAGAATAGATGAAAGAGACTTTGCATTAACTATAGAAAACCCAATGCTATCACTAAATAAAAATATATACCTACTACCAACTATCCAAGAAATTTTAAACTCATTCAATAGAGCCTCTTGGTTCACTAGTTTAGATTTAGCCAGTAGATATTGGCAAGTCGCTATGAAGGAAGAAGATAAAAAAAAGACTGTTTTTATTACAAAATGTGGAACATATGAGTTCAATATTATGTATTTTGGACTTACTAATGCACTTGCAACTTTTCAAAGATTAATGAATAAAATACTTCACTTCTTTATTAACAATAGTAGTAAAATATTTGTTTCTAAGTGAAGTTCTTAAAGTTACAATTATTTTTATATAATGAATTATGAACTATGAAAATGTGATTCTAGAAGCATATGTAAAAAGATAATTAATATGCACAGTAAAACAATAAAAATAGTAAGTCAGTCACTTAACAAATAAATATATTGTATAACCTACAAATAAAATTAGTCAATAAAAGACAGTTATATTTGGAGAGTTGGTATGTTTATAATTGTATATTTTATAATATAATGTCATAAAAGCAGAAAATATTTGGGTCAAAATATATTGCAAGCATGAAAACTACTACTTATATAAGGCTCAAAGCCTTTATTATATATTGTTATATTATATATGCACTCCTACAAATATTAAATATATTAAACATATTATTTAATATATATACTTTTAATGTTCTATATTACTTAAAGCTACTTTATATTATATATTCTATTATTTATAGTTCTTTCTTAAAACTCTTATTACTGCTATTACCTTTATATCTTCTAATAACTTTTATATCCAATAATCCTAAGATATTCATTTTAGATAGATGATCAATATAGCCATTAATTGCATTATTGCACCATATTGATCATTCTTTGCTATATGCTTTTGAAATTACATTTCTATTGCTCACATTTCTTCTTAACTCAAAGTTAAGTTCTACAAAACAAAGTTGAATAGCAAGAATAATTTTTTAGCAGAATTGAAAATGCATAGTCCATATGTTAGTAAGTATCAAAAAGTCTTATTCTTACTGCTATTTATATATTTCAAGTTCTATTTGAATGTTTTACTAATTAATTTTTTTTTCTTAAAACAGTTTTCAATTTAGCAACATTATTTAAGATTATGTCTTATATTATTAGATGGTAGCAATCCTTTAGGTTTAACTAGATATAAATCTTTTACTAATTTTGTGTTATCTTAAATTGATCTTTTAAACTATTAACTCTTTTATTTTAATCTTTACAAATATTGTTCAAGTTTTCCAACAGGAATTGTCAATAAATTTGCAGCAAATGTCTTATTTCTAACATTTTTCTTAGTTATCGTTATTAACTCAGTTTAACAACAGTAATCAATTTTGAATATTTTAGCTTCTTTCTAATGCCAAGTAAGTGCTTGCTATTTATTTTTCTTAATGTTAATTTCATTGTAATAACAATGTCCAACCTTATATACTTCTTTAGTATGTCCTAAGTTCACTGATTTTTTATAATCTCTAAATGCCTTACATTTATTTTTTTAAACTTCAATCTTATTCTGATAATAAATAAAGGTTTTCTGTTTATCTTTTTTGATATTTATTCAATAACAATAGCAATGTTCAATATTATATATGCCAATAGAAGAGTCTAGCTCACATGGTTCCAAATAGCTAATAAAGAGTTTATGTTTGTTTTTTTTTATTGCAATTTCAGAGAATTTATTATTCAGTTTGAGTGTATCTTTGATTTTTTCTTCACAGCAAAGTTCAAAACTGTTTTTCTATTCAAATCATCTTTTTTAGCACTTTTCAAATACTGTCCAAGTGTCTTATAATGATCCTTTTTAAGTCTAGTTTTTTCAATTTTAATTTCATTTTTATAATAATAACTAACAGAATATGTTCTATTAGCATTCCTCATTTCTGCAGATTTTTAATAGTCTTTAAAGGCTTTAAGTTTATACTTTTCAGTCTCAGGTCTACCATTATTGTTGGCTTTAGGTTCAAGTTTTCTTTTTGTAATTAAAAAAGACCTTCTAAATGCTTTATTTTTATCTTTCATATCATTGAATTATTGATAATAAATAGGTGCTTATGTTTTTTCTTTCAATCCTAATTCTTTTATTTATATTTTTTTAACTTTGATTTCTTTTTTATAATAATACCCAACCTTATATGCTTCACCAACATGCCCCAATTTCTGTAGATTTTTGATCATTTTTAAAGGCTTTATATTTATTCTTTTTAACTTCAATTCTATTTTAATGCTATTTATCAATATTTATCATATTACTTTCAGTCTTGGTTGGTTCTTTTTTAGTAAGTCCTTCTTTTTCTTTTTTAATACCACTTTTCAGAAAAGACTCTAGAACTTCACTTTTATATGCTAGCTTCATATTTAGTAACTAATTGTCAAAGAAGATGTTCTAAGTTAAGAGTTTCTTTTGCAAATTTGTCAGAGTTGTTGTAAGTGTCAAATACTATATCTGTTGGTTGTTGAGACTTCAATAAAATTTTTGGCATAGAGACTACAAGATGGGTTCTTCTTAAGTCTTTGTTAATAATTGTTAATAGGATTTTTTTTAAAATCATAGCTAACTAGAAATATGACACTAAATATACAATCTTTTTCTCTTCATAATTGTTATTACAATCTATGCTAACATCTTCTAATATCTTTAAACAGAATTTTAATGCTTTAGAAATCTGTTTTTCATCAAGAGTTTGAACTTCAAAAGTTTCATTAACAATTCTTTGGACCTTTTAGATTTGTTAATTAGTAAATACTTCAAATAGGGCAGTATATTTCTGTTTCAATATTTTTACATCTGGGTATTTACTAACAACATACTTTTTTCTTTTACAATAAGAGTACCAATCTTCTTTTGGAAAGTTTCTTTGAGTCTTTTTCATTATAGCTTCTGTCATCTTTGATCTTCAGGATGTTAAATAAGTTTTCTGCATTTCTTTCTTTTTTGGGACTTGTTCTTTTACTAATTAATTGTTTTTTCCTATTTTATTGCACATTATATGTTATCAAAATACTAATTCTTATTTCATAGTTTAGCAGTTCTTGGATGTTAGATCTTATAGTCACTACCAAAATAACATAAGAAAAATGATGAGTTAGTCACTTGACAAACAGATATATTATATAATATATAAATAGCTTAGTTGATAAGAGACAGTTATATTTAGAGAGTAGTATGTTTATAATCATAGGTTTTATAATATAATATTATAAAAACAGAAAAGTATTTGAATCAAAATGTATTTTAAGTATAAAAACTACTACTTATATAAGGCTCAAAGTCTTTATTATATACTATTATATAATATATTTTTTTAAATATTAAGGTGAGTACTTGTGACCTAGGATTTTATTAATAGTATATTTAGCTAATGGTTGCATTACAACTACAGAGGGCAACTATAAAAAGAGTATACAACTAGCCACTTGTACAACTTTAGTTATTGTCTAATTTAAGTAGTTTGCTCAAAGGTTCTATACTAGTTGCATATCTGAAATCAGCCTGTAGATTCCTTATTTAATAACTCTAGTTTTTGTATCTATCCACCTACCTCTGCCTACCAATAACCCTAGTTGATGACAGTGAAAATATACTATGACCACTAAGTCTTTAAAGCAGTTTACTTATATAGAGAACCTTTGACCTTGTACTAAACCTTCTAGAATCTTCTGTATCCTATTTTTACAGCTAACCTAATATCATTTGGCTAAGACCAACACTGGTGGTCAGGGCATATCATTAAACCACTATGCTCTTGTAGAGTTTACCCCAACCCCGATACTGACTTCACAACATATTCTTACTACTTTGGTATTCAATTTAAGTTCTACTAAGTTCTTAAACCAGATAGTCCAAAAAGACAGATCATAACTATACACCTCTGGTTTACATATTTGCCAGCATATAATCTTTTTTATTAGAATAAATTTTGGTGACCTGGTTGGTTCTATTCAGCCTCTTCTCAAAGGCTGGCTCTTTAACTAGTTTCACAAGTTCTAGCTTTATTTCATAGATCTATTTTTTACAGTAGCATCATCAAAGATTCAGGTTACCTTTTTATTTGGGTCTTCCAAATAGGCTTCTATCTTCCTATCTGGTTTCTGTAATTTATATGACCTAAGAACTTATCTTGAATTCACACTTGCTTGTAATGAAGTTTGATCCTTATAATTCCCTGACCTTCGCTACCTTGTAAAACCTATGATTATAAACATACCACTTGCCAAATCTAACTGCCTCTTATCAACTAAGCTGTTCATAGGTTATATGATGTATTTGTTTGAGAAGCGACTGAAACGCCGATGCTGTTTGCTAGTGTCATTTTGATGGTGACTGTGAGATGAACTAAAGAAACCTGATATCGAAGCTGAAGTCTTGAGTCAAGAAGTGAGGTGAACCTGCCTGTAAGTCATAATGATAGAGCCTGGTCTGGCGAGGAATAAGATCTGCACAAAAAGGATGAAGTGCCTGTGGATAAAGAGCTGCGATAAAAGTTAAAGAAAAAATATGTACCTGCAAAGTGAAGAAAAGCCTAGGTAGTCTTAACTTCTTAACTCTGTGCTCCTGACCAAAGTCATTCCTTAAAGATTTCTAAAGTCCTAAGGACTCACCACTTAAACTCCACCATCAAGTTCTTCATGATTATATGCATGGTATGCATATACTAAGTAGAGGAGAAATGTTAGACCTAAACATGTGATCTATGAGTGATGTGTGATCTTCACCATATGACCCTAAGTCACACTCTCTCGGCTATGTAGATTATATACCTTAAATGAGTGTACTGGCAGTATACGCTGTATTCACAGTATACTATATATCCTATGTATCAGGTGAATAATGGATATCAGTGGGATCAAGTATATACTTAAAATAATCAGTATAAACATTATTATCAGTATAATTAGTATAAACGTTATAAGTAGTATAAACAATATATTACAAATACAATATATAACGTGTCCTATGTAAATGAAAGTATATAATAAAGGCTTCGAGCCCTCTGAAGAAGAGGCAGAGTTCATGCTTGTAATGAAGTTTGACCTTTATAATTCCCTGGCCTTCGCTACCTTGTAAACCTACGATCAGAAACATATCACTGCCAAATCTAACCACCTCTTATCAACTAAGCTGTTCATAGGTTACACAATATATCTGTTTGAGAAGTGACCGAAATGCTGATGCCGTTCACTGGTGTCATTTTGGTAGTGACTGTGAGATGAACTAAAGAAACCTGATATCAAAGCTGAAGTCTTGAGGCAAGAAGTGAGGTGAACCTGCCTGTAAGTCGTAATGATAGAGCCTGGTCTGGTGAGGAATAAGATCTGCACAAAAAGGGTAAAGTGCCTATGAATAAAGAGCTGTAATAAAGGTTAAAGAAAAAATATGTACCTGTGAAGTGAAGAAAAGCCTAGGTGGTCTTAACTTCTTAACTCTGTGCTCCTGACCAAAGTCATTCCTTAAAGATTTCTAAAGCCCTAAGAACTCCCCACTTAAACTCCACTGTCAAGTTCTTCATGATTATATGCATGAAATGCATATACTAAGTGGAGAAGAAATGTTAGACCTGAAACACGTGATCCACAAGTGATGTGAGATCTTCACCATATGACCCTAAGTCACACTCTCTTGGCTATGTAGATTATATACCTTAAATGGTGTACTACAGTATACACTGTATTCGCAGTATACTATGTATCCTATGTATCAGGTGAATAATGAATATCAGTAGGATCAAGTGTATACTTAAAATAATCAGTATAAACATTATCATCAGTATAATTAGTATAAACATTATAAGTAGTATAAATGATATATATCACAAATACAGTGTATAACATGTCCTATGTAAATGAAAGTATATAATAAAGGCTTCGAGCCTTTTGAAGAAGAGGCAGAGTTCATGCTTATAATGAAGTTTGACCTTTATAATTCCCTGGCCTTTGCTACCTTGTAAACCTACGATCAGAAACATACTACTGCCAAATCTAACCACCTCTTATCGACTAAGCTGTTCGTAGATTACATGACATATTTGTTTGAGAAGTGACTGAAATGCCAACGCTATTCACTGGTGTCATTTTGGTAGTGACTGTGAGATGAACTAAAGAAACCCAATATCAAAGCTAAAGTCTTGAGGCAAGAAGTGAGGTGAACCTGCCTGTAAGCTGTAATGATAGAGCCTAGTCTAGCAAGGAATAAGACCTGTGCAAAAAGGGTGAAATGCTGTGAATAAAGAGCTGCGATAAAGGTTAAAGAAAAAAATATGTATCTGCGAAATAAAGAAAAGCCTAGGTGGTCTTAACTTCTTAACTCTGTGCTCCTGACCAAAGTCATTTCTTAAAGATTTCTAAAGCCCTAAGAACTCAACACTTAAACTCCACCATCAAGTTCTTCATAATTATATATGTGGTACGTATATACTAAGTGGAAGAGAAATGTTAGACCCGAAACACGTGATCCACGAATGATGTGGGATCTTTTCTGTATGACTCTAAGTTACACTTTTACAGCTATGTAGATCATATACCTTAAATGGGTGTACCGGCAGTATATGCTGTATTCGCAGTATACTATGTATCCTATGTATCGGGTGAATAATGAATATCAGTGGGATCAAGTGTATACTGTTATCCTATATCTACTTCTTTTAAGATAGTAGGTAACTAGGCGACCTTAGACAGTGAACACTTTTTGTAACCTCACTTGTTACTGTATTATAACTAAGTCGGAAGGCATTTTATTTT